AGGCAGTAGCCACTTACAATTCGCCGTGAGATCAGGGAGCAGATGTAGGATGGAAGTTTCCCTAACATGGCTTTGTATATAAAATGTACCAGTGACTGAGCCTCCGTACAGTTAGTGAAAGCAAACCTGCCCTTGCATACAGAGTACAGTGATGGGTTAATACTTTACAGTTTGTCACAAATCTCAGTGCACTGTGATAGGCGGCATCTAACTTGATTCATTGAGGAAGATATGGATGTTTTGCTGTTTTTGGCACCGCAGTGGGTGTGCATGTGTTTGAGTGTGGACATACATTCCTTTTGTGCGTCAGGTTGGCTTCCCCCATTAGCTAGCACATTTCAGGGCCAAAGCAGAGCTGATTAGGGGTCCTGGCAGCAAGGGGATTATCACGCTGGGTCAGACTGTACCCTGCTGGTGTCCACTGAGGAATGCAGGCAAATCAACCCTATCAGTCCGCCAGTCAGTCGGCCACGCAGAGAGTCATCCCATCTGCCAGTCATCTGCCAGCAAGGCACTCAGCCAGTCTTCACATGAGATTAGTTTAGCTTTCTATCAGCAACCATTATTTATTAGGAACTTTGTGTTCTCCTGAACTCACTGCCTGGCTCTCACACACATATCCAACATGATCATATCTTTGCTGGATGGCATAGAAGAAACCCTACCTCTTCTTATCTGCTTACCTGTTTTGTCTATTTTTCAGCAAACAGTCCCTTCTGTTTGGTTAATAGACCTCACGGCATTTCGTGTTATGGTCACGACATTTAATCTATTGATTCGTGTTCACCAACACGATTTCCCCCTTTTTTTCGTGTCACACAGAACGATTTTAAAATCGTTATTTTATTTTGAAATTCAGTTCCTGACGGACGCCAAAAAAGCCCGGGATTATAGAATTAAACAAATAAATAAAAACAAGGATAATTGTGTGTTATTGTTGAGTAAATAACAGTGTGTTATTTAGAAAAGAATAACAAATTAGAAGGAAAAAAATATTTAAAAAATACAGATTTCAGTATTCTGAGGCTCTGAGGCCCATTTATTTTCCTCGTGGACGGCAAAAAAGGTCAGACATTATACAATTTAAAATAAAAACAATAATCGTGGCTTGATATTGAGTAAGAACATGTTTTTATGAACTACACAGCTTCCGGTCTTCCAAGACCCGACTGGACAAAAAGACGTGTTGCAGGCACGAAACATACTACCAATAGAAATACATTGCTTTTAACATCGTTCTGTGTGACACGAAAAAAAGGTGAAAATCGTGTTGGTGAACACGAATCAATAGATTAAATGTCGTGACTATAAGACGAAATGCCATGAGACTGGGTTGCCTGGTTATAGCAGTAAATCGAATTAGTGTAACTGAAACGTTGCAAGTTGGAAACAACAAAAGCTGAGAATGACATCAGGGAAGTAAGAAGAAAGAGGAACACAAGCGGGGAGGTGCCCAGTTACACAGTAATGCATCAACACACACAGTTACACACTGAGACATTCACACACACAGTCACACACTTCTATACCCTTAGTCACTAGGCAAATACTGTCGTACATGTCATCTGTCATACATATCATCAATCAAAAATGGCAATCATAGCAAGATGTCAATAGTACTTAAAGCTGTTTTAGGAATTGGACGGCACTTTAGAAGTGAGTCACTTGCTACCCAAAGGCACAGTAACACGACCCTGTATTTAAAACAAAACAAAAATGATGGTTCATTTTAAACAAACTATACATGTCATCCCATCAGCCAGTCTGGGTGAGTAAAGCAGTAGAATGCTGCATGGAGGCCGGTGCAATGGTAACTTATTTTTTTATATATGTTGGGGCAGACCTCTCAAACCAGAGTTGGTGATTTTTGGAACATTGGTATGACTAACAAAGACCGTTTGATGAGTTTTTTATGAGTTTGAGTTAGATGACATGATTAACAAAACAGCAAGGTCACATAATGTCAATAAAGTCTGCTGTTTTTGAGGAGAGATAACACATTTTAGGTTTTGGGAAATAAATAAATAATTATAATTGTCCAAATCCCTGTTGATATTATATATTTTATTTATATTCACTTCTACACCTTCACATAGCACTGCATTGGAAAAGGGGCAAAATGTGTTCAAGTGTCATGTTTCTGTTACTGTCGGAATAAAGGCAGATAGTATTATTTCCCACTATAGATCAATCCAGAACTTTGGGGGTATTAGTGGGTTTGTTATCCTGTAGGAAAGGGGCTTAAGGGTCTACAACCTTTATGTTATGTAAAGTGTCTCTTATGCTAAAAGAACAGCTACCTATTGCTGGAAATGAAGTTGATGAGAGCAATGGGGTGAACCAAGAAAGTATATTTGTTGCCAGAAAACCAAAACAAATAGCTAAAAGACTCTAAAACACAAATCAGAGGAAAACAGGAGAGCCAGAACAATTAAAGCATTGGCATTCAAGGGTCAGAATGAACCTTTCCTCTTGTACCACCATCTGGACAAACTTTATACTGTCCTTAAATACCGCTTCATCAATTATTTACAAACTCTCAAAGCGCTTTACATACTACATGTCCTCATTCATCCAGAGCAGTTTCATACAGCGTTGGCCATGCCATCGCAAGCAGCTAGGGGTTAAGTATCTTGCCCAGGGATACATCGACATGTTGACTTGTTAATGGGATGGAACTCACAACCTTCTGGTTGAAAGACGACTGCACTCCCTCGCAGCCACAGCCCCCACATTAGGCTTTGCTCTATCTTAGAATAACACAATGTAAAGATCCAGCTTAATTCAAAAGAATATAATGTGAAACTAACTTGTTTGCCAGTAGGCTGTATCTTGTGATTCCAAGCAGGTAAGACACCAGTCACCTCCCTAACCCTTTAACACATACGGTAACTGCCTGTGCTAACACCTGCAGTATTAACTCAGTGGGCTTGTGTGTCAGTGCCAAAAACACTAGCGGGAAACCATCTCTTGATATTTCCCTTACTGGGGGTGACAAGCCATCTCTGCAGTCCTTTGAGTCCCGGGATGCAAAACCTATTTTCCCCTAGCGGGACGCCACTTCTCTCCCTTTCATCCGCCTCGCTCTGGAAATTAGAATGACGTTCCACTAGTGAGGGGAAAGAATTCCCCGCCTTGGCGAGTGAGAGGTGCAACGCCGAGAGCCAATTGCCTAAATGAAATTCCAGTAGGCTGCGAGATGAGTGGGAAGTGTTGGGGAGCCAGGCTTCTGCAGCTGCAGGCCTGTGTCCTGTCCAAACCCTGAAAGACACTATCGCTTCTTTTTCTCTAGTCTGGATGGAGATATAGATCAAGGATGTTGTCTCAGTTGACTGCAACTGATGCTGTGCTCTGATACAGGTTGTTGTCGTGTGAGTGTGTATTATTGTCTACCCACATCTAGATCCAAACACCTACAGCAATTTCTTACTTACATAATCAGACTGTCCATCTCAAGCAAACAAAGGCGATTTCATTCAAACAGCCTGGAAGGGGAACTCTGCAGCAGATTTGTGAATATCCAGAGGAAGTGCACGAGACTGTGTGTTTCATGTTTGGATCTCACAGGAATAGACCTATTACTCAAAGGTAAGGTAGGTCCCTTGTTGTCAGAGTGATAATGTATTTTCCTGCCTGGCTGGAAGATGAAGGCACTTTTATCTGTGCAACCACTGGAAAGCTCATTTCCTGGTCCAGTTTTCTTTCCAGAGCCTCGGTCCACTCACCGGCCTGGCCGCCAGAGCTGAGTCTACAGGGAGAGGTAAAGAAAACTGAGGGAGGGACACAAAGTGGGGGGGATGGAGAAGATTGGAAGCAGAATTAAAGGGGGGAAGATCGTTTTGTTTTTGAGACACTACAGGTCACCAATACACTTTTTTTAGTGTGTTTATCCAAAAATGTTATATTGCAGAGCAGAAATTATTTCCCACTAAGTACAGGTGCTGAAACAGTTTGTGGGATTATGTGCCGGACAACCTGTGACAAACAATCCAAAACTTAGTCTCACAAGGTTTAGGTTCTCATGCCTCTTATATTACTCACCTTGCAAATATCTTTCCCCAAACACTTCACAGCTGCTTTCCGTTTAGACACACTTTCTTAATGTTGTCTCTAATGTCAAAACCTGGCTGATAGCAAAAACCATGCATGGTTGAACAGGAGGAACAAGGTCAGAGCTGTCTCAATTCAATTTTTCTGTACTTTTACTTTGAAAAAACCCCATTGCTAACTAGCCAAATCGCCATTTCCAAAAACAGCTTTTGTTTTGGATTTGTTCTCAAAAATAGCAACACGTCATTTATTTCATAGTGTACACAGTATAAAGTATAGCCTTCTACATTAAAGTGTTCTTTGGGAATTATCCACACTTAGCATTGGAGTCTACAGCCACACAGCATGGAAAAAACTGAAACGTTGATATTTAACTAACTGCATTAGTTCAATATCTAAACTAATGCAGTTATGTGACATTTGTTGACATACATTTTGTAAGTCAACGTTTCAGTTTTTTCAGTGTAGGGGGCTCTGCGAGGGCGACTTGTACTATGCATTAGCATGCTAACATGCACATACAGTAATGACAATGCTAAGATTATTATGTTAAACTGCTCTGTTTATATAGTCACCCTAGTAGCTTAATGTGTAAGCATTTGCTTATAAGACCAAATACAGAGCCGTCCCTAGAGCCATGACACTAGCATGGCTAACACAAGAGAACCAGGTAGGAAGTTTCGTCTACACATATCAAAAAGCACTTCATGCTTCTGAGGACCTACTATGGGAGTGAATGCAAGTGATAAATCCTAGATTTGCTCTGCGGTAAAGTGTCCAGGTTAATGAAAGCAATAGAGAGCAATATCAGAATCCCCAAATGTCTGTGTGTTTTCAGAGCAACAAAGAGCTGATGACAGGTCACATCTTTCACAGTGAGCTCATCTGTTGTTCAGAAATAGGCCTACTGCCAAGCAGAGGAGCTCAAAAAGAACATGCACGGACATGCATTACTATAATTAACATGTGGCTTATTTATTTATTAATTATTACTATGGAGAGGCATACATACATTACAGTGCAAACCATTCTTTGGCATACGTACAATACAATTGTCATGATAGGTACTAATATATATCCACATAGACCACTGGCTAAGGGACAGTGTAGGTAAAGCATGTTCAGTCTTGCAGAGCAGTGCATCCATTGATACTTTCTTGGGAGGAATAAAAAAAACAAGGGAACTATGATGAAAACAGAAGAGAAAAAAAAAGAACTAATACAACAGATATGTGACTACGCTGACAGGTAACATGAAAGCTCACAGTGCTTTGACAGCCAAAACATGGGACACTTGCCAAAATGCATTTAGCCTGACAGCCATTCATACACGTTTATGGATATAAATGAAAAATACTAAATTCATTAACATTTGAGCACAAGATGTGTTTTAGAGAGAAAATCAGAAAGTGATTGAGAGAGGAAAACAGATTTTAAAGGCTGTAAACACAAACCTGACCAGTACATTTCAACATTGATATGATAACAGTTCACCAGTGCTGCTGCCAGCCCAGTAATCCATGTGGAATCCTGCAGGGAAGATTCCAGAGAGCATTATCCCTGTTTAGTGACAGATGCTCGCTCAGGACATTACTCGGAAAGAAAACAATGGAAAGGAACCCTGCAGCCACTTCTCCAGAATTATGAGCGGATAAAAACAGGAAAACAAAAAGGTGACGCAGGCTTCACTGAGTGGCCAGTGCACGGCGTACAAAGGGTGTACAGTCTAAGTACAGTCCATGTGGGCGGTCAGTGGAATACATTTCACAATAGCAGGATGGTGGAGTCATGTTTTGATTGACACTGTATCCCAATCATGAGTGCCCCTCCCCCTACACTACCCTTGCTTCCCCTCTCATATGGCTTCCATTAGAGCGGAATGAGGGTCAGAGCGCTGGAGAAGGCTGCGCTCAACACATGCTCTGCTGAATGACGTCACCCCGGTCTCAAAATCTTCAACATGGCAGAGAAACATGAGCAGGACGAGCATTCCTAACCTATATCAACACTGAAGACGGTGCTCACAGGGGAAATCTGAACACACATGAGAAGAAACTTAGAAAAGGGAAAAGATTGAGTCAAAGCGGAGGCCTGAGAAAGGAATGCGTGCAAGCGTGTCCTTGTCTAAACTGGAGCTGCAGGTCCAGCACAGCGGAGAGGAACAGTCAACAGTTAATGTATGGTAGCAGTCCTTCAATAGTGTGTAGTCTGTGGACAAAACACTATACATGAATAACAACAATCTGTGACCAGGCCCAAAGGAGAATACTGCTGTGGTAGAGCTAGCAGTACCAAATCCTGACCTCATTACAACATTTGTACAGAGTATCATAGATAGACATGTGCTATTAATTTCATTTTAGAAGTAACTTAATCACGCATTTGAGACCGAAGAGAATACTGGGACATAGTTCTTGAGATTGCAGTGGTAAAAAAAAGGGATTTTCTCTTACTGCTTTCTGAAAGCAAAATGAAAGTTGGAAAGGAGCACAAATGTGCAAGAGCTGGTTTTGAGTGTCCTGCAATGGGGAGTGCTACACGGCTCCACCTCACTCAAGTTCAGGACAGCCGACAGGTTGTCCAGGTATAGAGGAGCAGTGATCAGTAGACATCTCTTTTGCGTTACAAACATTTTCCTAGGGCTTCACATTATCTTCATATGTAAGCATTTTAATATAAAAAGAGAGGGAAAAACATATTAATAACATGATATAAAGCACCTTGGATTAAAAGATGAAATCTCTATTTATAGAAAGTCTCAGTTTGAATGAAACCATCCTCTCATTTGTGATTTATTATAAAAAAAGGCATATACTCAGTGTATAAAGGTTGCTTTGTATACAAAAACAATACTTTTAAGGTTTGTATTTAGTGATTAAATCATGAATAAAAAAGGGGAAATAGCACCAGTTTTCGGCATCTAACCTGAGAAACTTGGGAGACAACAAGATGGCTGCCGCTTTTCAATCTACTTCCCTTTCCTGCTGGTCGACGGCGAGTGGCCCTGTGTTTTGTCACAAGTGTTATTGGCAGGAGAACAAACACAGCGGCTGTTTGTTACACTGAGCACAGGAGGAGAGGTTTGTCCGTCGTGTTTACAATCCACCCATTCATCCATCGGTTCAGGAAATAGATCCATTTAGTGATCTCTGGCCGGCTGCCAGACCATTTCAAACCGAGCCTCAGGCTGCTGGCCCTGGTGGGGGCAACAATCCAAACATTTAAATATAGTCACCCCCTTCCCCCATCAACGGAAATAATAATACAAAATGAAAAAACAAAACAAAAACTGAGGCTATTGGGTCAATTGAGGATATTGGTGGCAGTGGGTTGGCACACCTTCATGAGTCCCATCCTCTCTCTGTATGTCTGTGTGTGACTCTCAGCCACTAGAGTGTTGGCGGGTGGGTGGGGGGGGGGTCCTGAGGGTTTATTCGTGGCGGGTGTCTGCTTCTTGCCGCTTCTTAACATCAGCCTGTGGAAAGCACAGAGGGCAGCAGGCTCCTTTTAGCTTGACAGGCTGCTTGCACTCGGTCGGTGGACAGGACTCCACAAAGCAGGTCACCTGGATGCCCTGCAGTGGGGAGGGGGGGAGAGAGGGACAACAGGTCAATTACCTTATTAGATTAGACTGGAAGGAATGTCCCTGATTTGACCAGCTGCTGATACAAGATGTTAAAAAAAAAAAAACATTAAACATGACTAAAGCAAATGGAAACTGTTATACATAGCAAAACAAAAATATTGAATCACATGTATATATATATGTTCAAAAGGGGTTGTCACAGGCATACATAATGCAATTGTAAATGAATGATCTCAATAAAGTCACAAGCTGGCACTGTCTTGTGCATTGGTTTGGCACCGAGTTACAGAAAGTAAACGTTTCGCCTCTTGTAGATGACATAGCTGGACTGAACAATTAAGTGCTTTGTTTCAGAGCAACACCACAATGTTTTGAAGCAAAAACGATTCTTTCCCACACAGTCCTTATCACTGTGCAGATGCCTGGCAAATTCAATTAGAACAAAAAAAACCTCTAATCACAGTGAGGAGTGGAGGGGGGAAAGGGATAGTTATGTGGGGGCCAAGGCGAAAGAGAGAAACATAAAAGATAAAGTGATGTGGTTAGCAGAATAAAGGGCAACAAAATGTAAGTGAGGGAAAGGAGGGCATTCAGGTTTGGCATACAGAAAGTGAAGATAAGAATAGGAGAAGTAGCCTTGATAGAGGAGGTGAAACACTGGCAAGGAGAAACTGGGGCATTTTAATTGGGCTGACCATGTCCTCTATGAGAAACAGGGAGAATCCTAAACATAATCAGCACTTAGAGTGAAAACGAGTGCATTAGGGACTGTGCACGTGGTTATGTAAACCATTTGAACTCCATATTGATTTATATGTTGGACATACTCTGCATTCACATGTGGTGCAAGAGTCCTTTTTCCACCGATCTCCATCGGTCCGATCACGTCCCTCACTGTCAGTGCAGTCAGTCTTGCTCAGACGGCCCTCCAGCTTTTTAATCTGCAAAGACACAAGGACACATATACTCAGAGGAGCACGGCCACAAATACCTACTTCCAGCTACACATTTCACATGTTACAATATTTGAGTAAAATATACATCAAAGTGTCAATCCTGCAGGAGTACAACATCTACGATCAAGTGGAAAATATGACATATCTTTAATCAAACTTCTTATCAAAAACCCACCTTATCAATAACACAGTAATTCAGCACCCTCTAAAAGACTTTCTATACATCATGTCCCTTCACTTTAAAGTCTGCTGCTGACCAGAAGATGAAGTCAGGGTGCTGGGCCCCATCCTGAGGAATTAACTGTACCGCGGACACGTTAATGAAAAACATGTCTGTCTGGGGCTCTGAATGTGTCCATGAACTAGACTACAGCACAGCTTCAGTGCAGGCATTCAGCATATCAGAGATGAGACGAATAATGTGTGTGTGTATGTGTGTGTGTGACACTCACCTGCTTTCGTAAACTTGTGATCGTCTTCTGCATATCGGTAACAAAGCCCTGGAAGTCGTTCATTGATGGTTCAGTGCTTTTTTTGGAGGTCTCATCTACCTTCACAGGACTTTCTACAGCTTCCTCCAACAGTCTATAAAGAAAAACGTACATACATTAAGTCAGGTTCAATCTCACCCATCATTTCTCTATATGTCCTCTAGGACAGACAGTCTTAAAGCTCACCGAGAAAAGTAAGCTACATCTTATGAAAATAGTTTTTTTTTAACCGTCTGGGTGTCATGGTTGGGTGTAGCATAGATGTGTTGTTTTGAATATTTAATCAACTTCAAACTCAAACTTAGTTGGGTTTTGTTGGACATGTTTTGGTACTGGTAGAAGTGCCTGAAAATTGGAGTGCGACGATGGCGACGTAAAAAAACTGCTTTATGAACACTCAGCCTACTTAAATAATTATATTTGAGGCTTTTGATTTTGAGTTTTTTTTAGGGGGTTCGATGGTCTGTGATTTTTTATAGGGCAAGTGGTCCTTTGTTTGAAAACGTGTGAGAAACACTGCTGTTGGACTCAGTGGCGTTTTTATATGTACAAAAGTGGTGGGGCACGAACCACTTAGATGTGTATAAGGAAAACACAGACACTCATCACCGAGGTCACAATATCAATCGATCCAGCAGAGCAATAGCCTATAGGCAAAACACAGAAGATCAACAAAAGATATGACATAAAATGAACTTACCAAAGCTGAAGTAGATTCAACTTCATTCATTTTCTTTCCGTTTTACTGATTTGAATCGCTATACGCTGCTCTCTCTCGTCTCCTCTTTACAAACAACTACTATTTTTGCGGCACACGTACTTACAGCCAATCAGCTCTCTGAATTATGAGATGATGTTTGGTAGGTATGTCAGCACAGTGCCCCTATGGTGATTATTTTTTTGCCGCACACATTGAATAGAAAAACACTTGCGCAGTGTAATTTTTACAGCAACCATTCACTTTCACAGTGAGAGATAGAGGCTAGATCGGGGCTTGACCCACATCGCTCAAAGCGGCTCAATAGGCACACTGTAGACACTAATTAGAAGAACAGACTAAAACAGCAATTTACAGACGAATCAGATGACTAAATATGATCTTAAAATATATTTTAAGATGTATTTGTTTTGCATTTATTTGCATTTTTTGGGAACTATTATTTGAATGACTTTCTGCTGACACTAGGTGGGGCTGCCCCTAATGACCAGTCGCCACTGGTTGGACTATATTAACTACAGACTAACTTCTGATTTATTGCTGAAAAATCACAGTTATAGCTGCCATGCTGAATTCATGTCACACAGAGACAGGCTTCAGATTCAGAGTAGTATTCCAGTTTATAGTCACACCTTGAGACCAAAAAATATTCTTTCCAAACATTTCTTGTCCTTAAACCAATCCTTAATAACTAGAGTTTGTTATGCTGAGTGACTTCACCTGGTTTCCTGGACGCTGTCTGCGGGTGCCTCCTCTTTGTAGCTGTGCTCAGCTGACCGGCGTCCTCTGAAGTGGTACGACAGGGCGTTGAACTGACCCTTAGTTCTGCAGTCTGTTGGGGTCAAACATAATACAACATGCAGTGATTCACTAACAGAGACCAAATCAATAAGTGACATTTGCACGGAAATACATCTTAATTGTTAACTTTTCAGGATCAAGATATCACTTCTTATTCAATACGATAAAATAGCAACAATAAGCAACTCAGTGACCACACAGAATAAAGAATACTTGCGCAGGGCGATCAGGTTAATAATTGTTTGCTTATGCACAAACACCCATTCACATGCATACATTCTCAAAACAGTAAACCATGACTACTGATGCCACTTTCCTGCTGCTTCAGAGTGCTGATATATAACTCTAAGGCTTATTGTATTACCACGACCCACTGCTAGCTGTACTACTGTACCCAGATCAAAGAGAGTAAGAGGCACACACACAAGCCTGCTCGTGCCCTAGTACACACCCGGGGCATGCTGAGCACGAGTGAAGAGGAACAAGAGACAGTCCCTAATAAATTGGGGGGAGGACAGATGAATGGGATCAGGCCCTGTAGTCAGGAGGACTTCACCTCTATCTGTAAGAGTTTAGAGGCGGCTGCTCAGCCTCAGAGGGCTTTGATTTACCAGACAACAGTCAGTAAAAGACAAGGACTATCTTAACACAACAAGGCTTCCTATCTCATGCTGATGAGACACGCATGAGCACACAGATGCACACTCATCCCCTGCTGCCACACACACACACACACACCACACACACACACACACACACACACACACACACACAACACAAACACACACACACACACACACACACACACACACACACACACACACACACACACACACACACACACACACACACACACACACACACACACACACACACACACACACACACACACACATCACACCACACACACACCACACACACACACACACACACACACACACACACACACACACACACACACACACACACACACACACCTTACTGACAGTCAAGTGTGGTAACTTCCTCCCTCCCTCTTCTTTCTGGCAGGATATCGTGTTGTTTATTAGCTTAGCTTTTCCCTTGTACATTATGTCAAGCAAGGGTGAACACCGGGGTCAGAATCTGGGATGAAAGGAGAATAATTAAGTGGCACCATGTGCTGCTTATTAAAATGTTGTTTAAGGAAAATAATCCCTGTACGCTGTAGCTTGTTCCTCAAAGACAATGAATTGATGAGTGGGCTTCATTTCAGTTTAGTGTAGTCTTTTGTAAGTTGAAACCTTAAACTAGACCTACAATACATCTATCACATCATGGAAATTAATATTGCCTCTTAAAGAGTGTACTGAAACCCATTTCTTCGATCTTTTTAAAATACCAGAAATACCAAAGCAAAATTCTGAATTGAGAAAAAGTCCAACAGCCTCCAGATGATGACAGACATTCTGATGTGTTGACATATACACATTCTAACACACAAAACAAAACATGTTTTTTTCCATGAACCCAGTAACTTACAACTTGGCCTACTCAGGAAACAGGAATGACTCATCTTTTTTAATACTTCAAGCTCATTCAATTAAGTTCATAATTATGATTGTTCATATCAAACAGATAAATGACACAAGGAAAACAATCATTAAAAACCATAATGCACTTTGTCAGCTGCACATGGGTGGACTGTTTAAACAGGAAGTACAATCTCTTCCTCTGTACAATTACTGGGAGCAGTGTGTGAAAAAGACAACATTGGTTATGTCATGAGATTCAGAAAGAGGAGTTTAATGTTCCACTGAGGCTGTGATCCAGCGAGTAGCAACAGCATGACATTTCATGGCATTTGATTTGAAACGCTGTTTTACGCTGCTTTCACAACAAGACCAAATCTACATCTGACAGAGAAAGTTTGAGACAGAGGAATTATCCCAGACGCTGTATGTCTACAGTCAGATCCCTTTCCATTATGAGGTCCTGAAGCTGGAACAATGATTGTTATTCCCCTTTTCATGTTTTCCTCCAAGTATCAAACACGGTCCAGTGAAATTAACACAAATAAATGTATTTGAAATGAGCTGTACAGACAGCCAGGCCTGCCCCTCCCTACACCCAGATCATGCAGACTGCGTGGGGCCTCATCTTGCGGAGGGGGCCTCATCTTGCGGAGGGATCCTCATCTGATGCGGAATTTAAGCGCTGCAATTGTGCCTCATCACATAACTTTGCGTGGGGCCACAAGTTGGCCAGGGGCAGCCCTGCAGACAGCAGTGCTTTCACGTAAATTGCATTCAAAGAATAACGTTATTCCTTTCAAAGGGGTTGGTCTTAACTGATTATTGGGAAGCCAGGCTGCCTTGAGCACGATGTTATCAAAGGGAAACAGGAAAGAGGATATTGTCCAGCTTTTTATTTGACAAAAACCAAAATGAAATGAAAATGCCTCAACATATAAGTCACTAGTCCAGCATCTAGGCCCTAGATGCTGGACTAGTGACTTATATGTTGAGGCATTTTCTATGCTGTTACACTATTGCTCTCACCTTCACAGCAGTCCTGCCACATGCGCAGGTCGATCTGAGGGACGTCCTCACAGCTGCCGTAGCCGTGGGGCAGCTCGGCCACCCTGAAGACGTCGTGCTGGACGCGTGTGATGTTGTCCCCGTTGTCACACAGCACCCGTGTCAGAGAGGCCTGCTTCAACTGTGTCAGTTGGGCAGGAGAGAACACGCCCGCGTTTTCATACCAGAACCTGAACAAATTAAACAGAGGAAATGGTAGTGATGGAGAAACACCTGGTGAAGATGTCGTTATCTTTTATTTGAAAGATTCCTAAAATAAATAATGTCAGAGATGTAGTACTAAAGGTGCTGATCATGATTTTTTATCACAATACGATATTATACTGTCGGAGAAAGAAGCATTGGGATTGGATAAAGTGCAGCGGACCTTGAGATGATCAACGTGATTTTCTGACCCCAAAGCCAGATGGGAGCTAAGCTAACCAAGCTAGGACCTAAGGCTATTGTTTTACACAGACTGCTCCTGGTTGATGTGTGATCGTTGGAATATAAGGATGTAATGATTTTATTTATTTTACAGTGACCTGGCTGCATCGTGGTATTCTGGATCAAGCTATTGGACTTGATGGGATGACCAAAGAAAAGAGCGCAGGACTCCGGAGGGACAAGAGGAGGTGGATCAAAGTTGATGGAGATTGTTTCCCTGAATTTTTTCAAAGGATTCAACTCTTTGTTGCTGCTGTTTACTTTTCTCCCGAGGAACATGAATGCTCTACTGTTTTTGTCTGGTTTGGTTCTGTTTTTCTTGTGTAGCATAATCAAGTAAATAACTAAAAACTGCATTTCCTTGTGCAACCAAGTTTTACAGAATGACAAAACATGATATTCAAATTCTTTCAATGGTGAGGTGAGATGTTGCTGTACCTGTCTCCATCCCGTAGGCGCTTGAATTGAGTTGTCAGCAAACACATGAGGGTGGGCCCCAGTCTACTGCCAGGGACCAGATCTTCAGCCATCAGTGCAGGGAACAGATCGATGTTCAGAGGAGTGCCATATAGCCTGCCGCACAGGGAGGATCATTATTATAATGATATATTAATAATATTATCGTTGTTAAGTTGTCTCAAGAAAATGTATAGATAATTCCAACAACTATGAATAATCATCTTGAGTTTATAATTACCTCTGCAGTTTCTCTCTGACAGTAGGATTCTTAATCTCATTCCTAAGGTCATCAAACGTTTGTGCTGAGGTTAGGTTACAGAAGGTCCTGTAATCATTGTACGGTGGTATACCGTGATCCCTCCCTCTCTGAATATTCATAGCAGCCAGATCCAGAGCCACAGCGTGGACCATGGAGAACAACCTCTCCGTCAGCTCTGTATTCACCAGCTGAGTGGAAACCCTCATTTTACCAGCGACACCAAAGAGCCCGCGAAGGAGTGGGTCGATTCCGCCCTCATTCACGATGCGGAACGGAGAGAAGAAGGCCCGGTGCAGGGAGATGTGTCCCTGGGGGATGGGCTGGAAGTCCTCGTCTAACCTGTACAGTATTGGGTTGATGAGGGTGTGCCCGAAGCGGAAAGCAGCAGTGGCGAAAGCATTTAGGATGCCGGTGTTAATATTTGGGTTGTAACCGGTGTATGTGTCCATCAACTTCATGCCTGCATCACCCAGGATCTAGGAAAAGGAATGTAATAGTCACACTTCTTATCATTATCTTTAAAAATGCCCTTATATTTTTTATTTTTAAACAAAAGGCTGTAAAAATATCATAACAGAAAACCAATAAGATGACAGCTGTTACCTTTGGCAACCAGTGACTGTAGGTGATGTGCTGCATCTGGGCCCCCACTATCTTCCTGGCCTCGTGGTAGATGGTGTCTCCGTCCCAGTGGGGGTTCAGTCTCAGGAGCTCTGTGGCTATGCGGTTGTGTTCTCTGAACCACACCGTGTGCATGGCGGTCAGACCGAGCTGCTCATTGGCTCGGTGATCTCCAGCTAAGAAACATGGAATTGGACTCTCATTTTCGTCCTTCATGCACTCGGTGGGTGGTCCAGAAGCAAATGGAAGAAGAGGCTTCCCTGTTCGCTGGATGATACCTTGCCGGAGCAGACCCCTTTGGCTTGCCAAATCGCGGATTTCCTCTGACTCGTGCCGTGAACTGCCGTAGACATTTGAGGCGTCGATGTAAGAGGTCAGCTGGTTGATTTGCTCTCTCGGGTAAACGCTGTTCATGAGAAGGGAAGTCATCCCGCTGCCACACACAGGGCTGGATCGGACAAAGAACATGCAGCGGGCGCCACTCCGCAGCTGCCGAGGGTCATTGGGTGGAAACTGGATTGGGTAGCAGGGCGGGTCATTGGTGCAGACCTGCGTACACAGCTGGCCGTCAGAGAACCGCGACTGGCTGAGGGCTGCCACTGTCGAGTCCATATCGTGGTCTAGAAACTGACCCCATTGCATGAGCATGTGGGTGTATCGGTCATCAGGGGTGATGGTCTCTGTGCCCATCATGAAGGTGGAAACCAGCCTGGGCAGAGGCAGACTGTGTCCATTATGCAGCTGCCCAGTAGCACCTCTCGGCAGGTTGAAACCATTATCATAGACAGACTTCAGCAGGCGCACAAAGGCTGTGAGTGAAGCGCCCCACATGGGGTGCTGCAGGTTGTTGCAGGTCCCGTCGTGGCTGCGGTACTTCTGGTGGAAACAAATGTCAGAGCAGTTGTTGAAGCGACGGTGGGCCGTGCAGCCGGACAGGTTGGCAATGACCTCCAGGAAGTGAGGGGACACCAGGTCGTTGTAGCGAAATGCTGTGGGAGAGAACACATAAAGAGCAGTGTTAAAAAGCTTCAGAATTGTGACACTAAATTCACGTGAGACTTGCAAATATTTGGATTAAAATACATCATCCAAGCCATCAATTAGCAGCAACTGGTTTCAGGTAATATAATTCACAGACATGTATCAAATGTTTTTATAGTAGTCATAGAGTAGAAAGAACCTCTTGTCCCGGGGGCACAGGTTGCAGTATTTTCCTAACCTGCCCATACTGGCTTTGATATGCGAGCACTCCTCTGTTAAAGCTCCAATGTACTGCAGTGCATGTGTAGGTCTGTGATGTGTTAGCAATGTGCGGTCACGGTTATGCATGAGAACAAGTGTTAAGTGTGAGCGGCCAACCTCAATGAGGGTAAGGTGAGACTTCCTGTCTAACATTAATGGCAGAACCTACTTCTAGCTTCAAGCCTTCCCACCTCTTTTTATTATCATTGTATTGGTTTGTCGCGTGTGGTTCTGTATGTAAATGTGTGTGAAAACAAAAAGGGAAACCGTGGTGCTGCCATCTCAGATAGAATAAGAACGGTATGTGTGTTTCTGCTGACGGGCAAAAAACTGTTGGCTTGTTTTGGTGCCAATGCAACAATGAACACTTGATTGTTGGCATAAGTAAAGATAACACTGTCTCTCTCTCACTTTCTTTATATTTCACAGAGCTCAATTTCTCTTCACCTACCTCTTTTACTCAACCTTGCAACATTTTTTACATTGCCCAAGTTCACTCTTTTTATATTTTTTTAATCTGTTCTTTTTCTTTGAAATAGAAACATATGAGACACCATCCCCCAAAACACAGACTCTGTACACAATCAGCCATTTTGACTTTTGTGTTACTTTAACCCTCCATTACAATGAGTACCTTCATGTACCATACATAACTTTGTCCATGCTTATGTGAATGCAAATAAATAAGGCAAATCAGCCCATGCTTTCCCAATTTCCCCACACACATGTATAATTGAGACAATCGGTGTTCACCAACACACATCATTTTAAAATGTGTCCTGTGCTCGGCAGTGATTGCAGGTTAAGTGTTGTTGGGTGTGACAAACTGGAGGGCTTATAAAACTGTTTACAGGCTCCTTGTCAAATGCTCCATGATTATGACTCTACGCCTTGGGTCATGCTTAAGAGGAAATGGCATACAGATGGGGGTCCATCCACAGCCAAGTGTTGCTCATAATAACGTGGTCATTCACAGACTGGTTGAGAATTGAAATACTGGTTAAATAAGATTTTGCTTAGGAAGCTGAATGGGAGCTTCTCACTAAATCGAGAGTAAGATTAAAGTACAATGTTGCATGTCCAATGACAAAAATGCATATCTGTGTCAAGTTAGTCTTTTTAACGTGATTATAAAACAACATATAAAGAACATATACTAAGTTGACATACTTATTCACTCAAGCTTTTTAAAGACTTTGAAAGCCACAGATTGAATGAATCTTTTAAACAAACTGAATCTATATTATACATTTGTACTGATTTCCACCTTTATTGTGAGAGCAGGATGTTTGTCTTGATGACTTCAAACTCATTCAAATGTAAACACCTATTAATCATTTTTTCCAAACATAAATTATTTCCAGTAATTACTCCACTACAGCATATTTAACAACGATGGTGGGCCAAAGGCTCCGCCCTGCGACAGGACTGAACCGGAGAGCAGACTCCCAGAGGCCCTCTCAGGTTGTTCACGCCCTGATGCAGAGGTACTTGTCTTTATACAGCTACAGAGTGACACCTGATGCGATCAGGTATAAAGTAACAGCAGCAGCAGAACAGATATTTGGTTATCAGACTCACCGGTGCCGTTGGTGTCCACCATGAGACCCTGGTTGACGTGGTTCTGGATGAGCAGAAGCGTCTGCTCGAAGATCTCCCCGGCACGCGCCCGCTCCACTGTGTAGGGGTCTCGTGGATACCGGAAAAGGGCAAGCAGCTCTCCTGGGGTACGAGGCTGACTGGAGGGATGAGGGATAGAGAGATGATGTAGAGAAAGCAGGGGGACGAAGAAGAGTCAAAAAGAGATGCACGTGATGTTGTTTGTAGAGGAAAGATCAATTTAAATAGCATTCTGCCGGAAACTTGATTTCACTTTTTCTGAGGGGAGGAAAAGCAGACAGAGCTTTTCTCAGACAGGTCAGAGAGTTCAAACATAAGAAGCCCAAAATATGCACAACCATCATATTCATTTTACTTTAGTTATATCTTGTCAATCATTATTGAGTTTGTGCGCATGACTGTTTTTTTTGTACCAAAGTCTAATGGACTGGTTTACTTAAGCTGCTCTTATTAACAAGCAGTAACTTGTGAATCATTCAAATACAAACCGAATCCACAGGTTTACACAAAAAAAACATTCATTTTCTCATTTGTTAAGAACATTTCGAGCATGACATAATGCACATGTAAGCCAAGTTACTTTTAAAATATGAACACTTTATTTGACATCTTAATGTGTTTTCTTTTTGTTGGAACAAAAAGAGCTACGCTGCTTTTTATTGGATCTCTGCTACAGCAGCAACACTCTCCAAACGCATGTATTCTGTGAAAAACAACATAAATCACATGCAGGATACATTATTTGTGTTGTTAATGACATTTTTCGTCCTCCTACAGCTGCACACAATAACATTGGTGTGCAGCCGACGGATCGAAGGTGTTTTAACACTATTCTTTCATGTGGGAAAATGGCTGCCTTAAATCCAGTTTGGTTTGATAACTTGAAAAAGCTGGCAACACAGATGCAATTAGTTTCTATAATGAACAGCTGCTGCCATCAACAAACAACATGCGAGGTCTAACGGTCTGAGAGTTAGCAGCAACACCGCCAATATGCTTTATGATCCGAGTAACAAGTGCTACTACCTTCGATCCAGATGCGATCTCCGCCTCCAATGTCATTCTGTTTTTTTTGGTGTTATTTCTAAACCATGTTTAAAAAGTCTGGTGCCAACAGCCAAGGAGGAGGCTGCCTCTTAATCTGTGATAGTCATTAAAGAGAGCTGGAAATCCCCTCATCTGTGTGATCATGTGAGCCTTTCTCTTCTTTATGTGTCTATGCCTCTATGCGTTTGTGCCTGCATCTGTGCGCAAAGTGCGTGTGTGTGTGTGTGTGTGTGTACATGCGAATAAAAAACACAGCTGCTAACCACATCATTCAACAGGATGGAAACACTTATGAGAGATATTAAGGTCACTTACTGTACAACTCTAACAGGGACCGAGTGCAATGAAAGAAGCAGTGGTTAGACAAAGACTACATCATTTCCTTCATCATCCCAACAATGAGTATAATGATGCACTGATGTAATAGAGCTTTAAAAAACTGTAAACAAGCAGTCACAAATATTGACTGCAGCTGTCAGAATAACTGGCTGAATAAATGCCCGCCCCCAAGGCACCGTTTTTTAATTCAGGTGTTCTGATTTACAATTTTAAAACTGCAAAGTTCATTTTCCACTGAAAGAGGAAAGAGCAGTAATATCAGCAGCTCTTCTGAATGGCCACAGTCTTTCCCTGAAGGCTCTGACTCAGACTCAGAACTTGCAAGTCATGTGCCAAGCTGATGTGAGACAAGCCATTTCTGTATCCTAACTTAGGCCCCATGAGCTTGAGCTCTGGGCTGAGTCTGTACAGGGGAAATAGTTCACTAAGTCCAAATGTATAATGACTAATGATAAAAATGTTGAAGATTGTTGCTCTAATTTGCATAGGTAAATCTATATCAAAGATGCAATTATTTTTAAGATAATTTATGTTTTTGAAATGCTCTTTGCATAAAGAAATATTAAAAGCATGCTTGTTAGCTAGCCTTCTCACAGTGCAGATGCTTTTCTGCTTGCTCTTGCCTCTGCTTACTTTTTTATGCTGATTTTTCTATTTTTCTTTTCTGAAAACTTCGAGCAGCGGCTCCTGGACATTAACTTATCACTGGGACAGTTATTCTTCGTAAATAGACGGAGGGTTTCAGCCATATTTCAACATTTTTACGACGACCTCAGTCTTACAGTAGCGTGGCCTAGCAACATCTAAAGCCTGGTACTGCATGCTATTTAGCTTAAGCTAGTTAGCAGCAAAATGCCTCCGTTCTCTACAGATGACTTCCACAAACTTCTACAGAAGATGGCCGTGTTGGAAATGAAAATGCAACGGTTGGAAGTTAACGTGGAAGTGAATGGACTAGGTTGGAATGCCACCACTTTACCAGTGTTGCAAAAGAATGGACAAAGGCATGCTAACTCAAAGCTAGTTAGCAGCTACAAGGATTCCAAGGAACAGGAGGGCTGTGTACCGGGTAATATATCTACAAGTGGTAGTCCTCCCTGGAAATGTCTGGGTGCAAGGCCTAAGAGTAAATCATTTCCATGGGATTTGGGAGGACGAACAACAGGCAGAGCCCAGCGCTCTGAAATCTATGATGCGACCGGCTGGCCTGCATTGTTATCACCCAGGAAGAACCCCTATTCATACTAGGAAACAGCTGTGGACAGCTGCTAAAGGGAGAACTACAAACAACCCTCCTAAACCACTGAGTGTGCCAATCCAGAACAGATACGCTCTGCTGACCCAGAACCGGAGATCTCTTTCTGATGACCTGGATAACCTGGATAACCTGTCCTCTTCACACAGCAGGGTAAGGACCAATAGCTACTCCAAAAGTAAAAGGCTAGAGGGAAAGCTAACGACTGGGCCTGAAACTCTGATTGTGGGTGACTGCTGTAAGAGATGTAAAAAGTCTGTGTAGTAAGAACAACACCAAAGTACTCTGTTTTGCCAAGGATATGGTCTCTGACTTGGCTGAGAAGATCCTGCATATTGGGGCTAAACATCTGACTGTGAAAAATGTGGTACTGCATATTGGAACAAATGATGTTGTGAAACAACAGTCAGAAGTGCTGAAAGAAGACTTTAAATGTTTGTTGGAAACTGTCAGCTCTCTAAATGCAGAGGTGTTCATCAGTGGCCCCAGGGCCGTCCCTCCCTACAGGCCGATCATGCAGGCTGCATGGGGTCTCGGCTTATGAGCTCGGCTTGTGCGCAGTTCTCAGCGCAGTTCTTCGCGCACCCCCCCCCCCCCCCTCGCGGGAATGAGAGTGAGAGGTACCAAGGGGAGCACGTGTGTAGTTGTTGATACATTTGAATACAGTTTTGTCTTGACTATATTACAACTATATTATAATAAAATAATATAGTATTTATATTATTGAATTGATTATGATTATGATTATTAGTAGAAGTAGTTTATTTGCATTCATTATATTTTAATCTTTTTGAGGCTAGTATTTGGCAGGAAATGCAGACGTATTCACCTGTAAACGCATACTGAACGACATACATGCACATTTACCATTTACCTCACTGTATAAAAAAGTAACTGTGTTGATAATAATAATAAACAGGAATTATATTTGCAAAGTACTTTGTTCCCAAACATTTATTTTTCCCTCCTGTCGGTTGGGGGGGGCCTCATCTCACAATGTCGCTTGGGGCCCCAAGTTGGCCAGGGACGGCCCTGAGTGGCCCTCTACCGCCAATCAGAAGAGGAGTGGAGAGATACAGCAGATTGTTTGCACTGAACACCTGGCTTTCAACTGCCTGTACTGACCATTCTGTCAATTTTATTGACAACTTTAACTTTTTCTGGGGCCGCAGACATATTTTTAAGGCAAATGGAGCAAATGGAACAAGTCAGGAGTGAAATTGTTTATCTCTAACATATTCAACTGCCTGCGTCATCAATCTGTTCCCTCTGCCAAGGACAAGCAACAAGAGGAATCAAAACAAGAGAAAGACACAACACATCGCTCAGAAAACATTGAAAATATATCACTGCACCCGCCTGAGGAATGTCTTGATTATGGGAGACAAATGGAGGAGTCATAGAGTTATAGATGCCATTGCTCCAACTAAGGTAAAGGAAGTGACTGGCAAGAAAATATCTCCATGGAGAAAGGCCATGACCGTGAAAACAGAAAAAAGAGAGTGTCGAAAAGCTGAACGTAGGTGGCGAAAAACAAATCTCCAGGTTCATTTTGAAATCTATAAAGAGAGACTTGGCCTTTATAATTTGGAATTGAAAAATGCACGACAGTCTTTCTTTTCTGACATCATTACCAAAAACAAAAACAACGCACGTGCCTTGTTTGCTACCGTCGACAGACTAACTAACCCCCCAGTGTCAGTAGCCTCTGAATTTCTATCCACCAGGGCCTGCAATGACTTTGCCTCCTTCTTCAGACAAAATTCAGAAAATTAGACAAGCAGTCAGTGCCTCTGCATCAGGTACAGCAAATGTTTTGTCCCTGTGTCCACCTAATATCAATTCAAACACCATGACACAATTCCATCAGATTAATGATAAAAACCTAGAGGACATTATTCAACTTCTGAAATCCTCCTCCTGCTGCCTTGATATTATTCCATCAGGATTTTTCAAAGATGTTTTTCATTGCATGGCCTCAGATCTACTTCACATAGTAAACAAGTCTCTTTACTCAGGTGTTTTTCCACAGGCCCTGAAAACTGCAGTCATTAAACCGCTCTTAAAAAAAGAATAATCTAGATGCTTCGGTAATGAACAACTACAGGCCAATATCAAACCTGCCATTTCTAGGTAAAATCATTGAAAAAGTTGTTTTTCAACAGTTGAGTAATTACTTGCATTTAAATAACTGTTTCAATGTGCTCCAATCAGGCTTTCGACCAAACCACAGCACTGAGACTGCTCTTGTAAAGGTCTTCAATGACATCCACTTAAACACAGACAGTGGCAGAACTTCAGTGTTAGTATTATTAGATCTCAGTGCTGCGTTTGAGACTGTTGACCACAACATATTACTCGACCGACTACAAAACTGGGTGGGACTTTCGGAAACAGTTCTAAATTGGTTTGTATCCTACTTAAAGGTGGGGTAGGTAATTTTGGAGAAACCAGATCGAGTGCGCTAGAATTTGAAAATACACAACCAGAAAAAATCTGCCACTTCCTTACAGAGCCCCTCCTCCAACACACACGCGCACATGACCAATGAGGGCACGAGATAAGTTTGTGCACAGATGGAAGGCTGACAGGCAGGTAGGCCATCCAGTTATTTTAGCCGGGCCGGCTAAAATGATTGGTCGTGCTTTTTACAGCGCCACGGCTTCCACAGATGACATTTTTTAATGTATTTATTGTCAAAGCATTTAATATATTCATTGCTATCGGGATGTTAAGAGCATTCCATGGAATATAACAAAAAGTGTTTCTGAAATAAATTACATACCCCACCTTTAAAGGACAGAAAAAACGTTGTTTCTATAAGTAAATACACATCTGAGTTGACAAATATGACATGTGGGGTACCTCAAGGCTCCATCTTGGGGCCTCTTCTCTTTAACATCTACATGCTACCACTGGCTCAGATAATGAAAAACAACAAAATAAGTTACCATAGCTATGCGGATGACACACAAATGTACGTAACCATTTCACCAGGAGATTATGCTCCAACTCAAACACTGAGTAAGTGCATTGAACAAATCAATGACTGGATGTGTCAGAACTTTCTCCAATCAAACAAAGATAAAACTGAGGTAATGGTTTTTGGAGCCAAGGCAGAACGTATAAAAGTTAGCGCTGAGCTTCAGTCTGCAATGTTCAAAACAACAGATAGAGCCAGAAATCTAGGTGTAGTCATGGACTCTGACCTGAGTTTCAACAGTCACATTAAAACAGTTACTAAATCAGCCTACTATCACCTAAAGAACATATCTAGGATTAAAAGACTAATGTCACAGCAGGATTTGGAAAAACTTGTCCATGCTTTTATCTTCAGTAGACTCGACTACTGTAATGGTGTCTTTACAGGTCTTACTAAAAAATCTATTAGAAAGCTGCAGCTAATTCAGAACGCCGCTGCTCGAGTGCTCACTAACACTAAGAAAGTGGATCACATCACTCCTGTTCTGAAGTCCTTACACTTGCTTCCTGTGTGTCAGAGAATTGATTTCAAAAATATTGCTGCTGGTTTATAAAGCTTTCAATGGTTTAGGCCCAAAATACATTTCTGACCTACTGCTAAATTATGAACCATCCAGAACTCTCAGGTCTTCAGGGACTGGTCAGCTTTCTGTCCCCAGAGTCAGAACTAAACATGGAGAAGCAGCGTTCAGTTATTATGCTCCGAATATCTGGAACAAACTCCCAGAAACCTGCAGGTTCGCTGCAACTCTGACTACTTTTAAATCCAGGCTGAAGACTTTTCTTTTTGCCGCTGCTTTTAATTGAACTATTCACATCTTAAACGGCACTGTAACTTTTATCCATGTTTATTTTATTATCTTTTCTTTTTAATGACTGATTTTAAATGCCATTTTCTTAATGTCTTTCATTTTTTGTAAAGCACTTACAATTGCCTTGTGTTGAAAGGTGCTATATAAATAAACTTGCCTTGCCTTGTTTGCTCATACTATGAACACCATACACCAGCCTTATTCCTTACAGCTGAGACATAATGAACAGCATGGCGTTCCCATCACTTAAGAGACTTGAGTGTAAAGAGGCTGTGTGTTTGTTGTATGAGTTTCTCATAACTTACCCATCAAAGAGCCGTCTTCTTGTCGACTCAATAGCGCTGTCCACACTACGGATGGCTTGTTCGATGGAAGTGCTCACAAAGGTGTCTCCCTCTCTGCTGACTGCAGGAACTGCCGCACAGAGACAGATAGGAAAGCAGATTAGAACCAGGTAAAAATATCTAAAATGGTTTGACTTGCGAACGCATTAGTGCATACAAGGATGCTCCGCCTAACTAACAAAGCATTTCTTTTCCATTACTTTAACAGTTTAATCAAACTAAGTTTGATTAAACTGTTAAAGTAATGTTTAAAAAACAAGTATTTTTGCTATTTAAACCAGTGCTACTTGATTCTATGCTCTAACAAACCTCAAGTAAACGGAGATCAAAATGCATTTAAGTGATAAAACAAAAGATAGGATATAGAGCTAAGGCTACTGTAGTTTGACTTGAAGGTGCTGCACTTCAGCACAACACATTTCTGGAACACTCTTTCGCCTAAGTTTTCCATGAAATAGAGGGAGATTGTGACGTGAGGACTAAGAGTCCTACAACATCAAAGCGCATTGATACAGTTTATTGTTCACCAACAGAGTACTGAGGTCTGAGCTGAGGAGTCTCAGGAGGAAATATCAACTCACACAGTGAAAAGCTTACAAGTCACACAGCTTACAAAATATGTTCACTTGTTCTGCTTTCTATTCCCTTCCTTTTGCATGGTTATGTGCTGTTTGCATGAGATGTTTTTTACCTGTCACAGTGAGCACCATGCTGGCCACTTGGTAGCCGATTGGATTGCGGGCGACACATTCATAGCGTCCGGCATCAGCAGTGCCCACGTCCTTCACCTCTAGAAAACCTTCAGGGCTGATGTGGAACTTGCCGCTCTCTGTCACCTGTATACCATCCTGGAAAGAGGGTAGGGGGTGGGACAAGGCTGGAGTTCAGGACCCTGGGAGATAGCATGCTTAGGTGTGTATCAAACTACAAGACACCGATTAAGAGCCTTGCAGATGGGACCTGTTGTGTGGGCTGGTTCCTTTATACAAGACGTTTTTGGACGGAAATGTCAGCTTAAACTTAACCTTATTAATCAATGAGTCACTTAATAGTCATTATTTGCAATACAATACACAATATTTTAAGTTCTGCCACTAGGAGTCTCTCAAAACAATGTCAGAGAAGCCTTGGATGATGAGAGCTTGTCATTGCAGTTAGCATCTCCGGTTGATTGTTCAATCGTTCAAAAGGTTTCGCGGAGGTCTCCTCCTCTATAAACTTGTCCTAAGCCCATGAACTCTGTGGTGGTGAGGTGATAAGCACCTTACCCAGCCCAGAGGACCTTTATCATCTAACCTTGTTCCAGGTGAGCACAGGTTGAGGCTGGCCCTGAGCGCTGCAGGGAATCTGGACGTCCTGGCCAGACTCTGTCGTCAGGTCCCTTGGAGCATTTGTGAAAACAGGCGTTACTGAATGAGTTAAAACATACACACACATATGCATGTGTTAATGATTATGCACCAGTGATCAAAGTATGTACATTTCATTTCATCACACATTCATCAATCACAGCAGAAACTCTAAGACTTAATCTAGGCATTTGACTGTCTGCGTAGGCTATGAGATCATTCACATACACACTTCTTTCGTCTATTACAGGGAGCAGAACATTAAACATCTTAAAGTCAGCTTACAGATCAAAGAGAATGAAGACAATCTGTATTCTAAAACCAAATGATACATCTCTTTACACGGCAGCAAATAATGTAATGAGCAGTTGGAACATATTTTTCTGTAATTCATCAATTCATTTTCTATTTTTTCCCTTTTGACTTTTGTGTAAGTCTTTTACATGATAATGTTAACCAAACACATATATACGTTTTTTCTGACTACAGGGACAATGTACGTGAAAAGAGCTGTTTTTCCAGGGATTAAGTTGGTCAGCAATCACAAACCACTTAACTACCCCCCAACACACACATACACAGTTTTGAGCATTGTTACAGTGAGTCACTCTGTTATACTGTTTAAGATTCATAGCAGCTGAATCCCCCCCCCCCCCCCCCCCCACACACACACACACTATGATCAAATGCCTTCAAGGTTCCCATGTAGCAGGCAGCAGTCAGCCTGGGAAATCCCCTCAAGTTTTAGAAACACACGGTGGGATGGGAGGCAGTTTCCTAGCAGTCTGACACTAATTAACTGCTTTTAAACAAAGTTGAACTTTTTTTAAATACAGGGTTCACAGCATCAAAGCACAGATAAATCTGGGATGTGAACACAGCCATATTGAAAAAGTATTATTGGTATTTTAAGCATTTTCACCTTTAATGGACAGTTAAAGATCCACTACTGGTGAAGTTATGGTCATTTGGCATGTGCTGTAAATGTTCAGCTACCAAGTCCGTATCGAAACATCTTTTAATAAACTTAAAATCACTGTGGAATGGAAACAAGCTTTACTCCAAGAAAGGTAAAAAACCAGCCTTTCACTTTCTCCTGCACGTCGCTCTCAGAATAAGGCATCTATCACACACTGGCTGTGGGCTTGTTCTGTGCTTTAACAGTGTGGGGGCATTATGCAACGTGTACTTTGTGCCATGTTAACAGCCATTACTACATGGAAAAACATGGTGTCATCTCAGGATTACAGAGTGCCATGCTTTCCTGTGTCAAGCCTGTAATTTCAGCTACACACACACATATACACAGACACACACAACACAGCCATGTGCACAAAAGAAAGAAGCAGTGAGACACAGCAACTTAACTTAACAAAAACATGCACACACAAATGCACATGCAGTGTGTTAAGTTAACCACACAGGTAACTAAAGATGCATTACCTGCATTGTAAAAGTTCAATTGAAGCTTTGTGTGTGAACAAGTTGGCTTTGAATAGAGTTCTGCACAACTCATTTTGTCACCTACCACTTCCCTTCTACTCATCATGCAGTGTTGGAAGAGGGTCTTTTAGCAGTCACCCTAGCCTGTGTATGACAGCAATTCTATAGCCACCTGCCTTATGCCAAATGTGCACCTGGGGAGTGCTGCCCGCGGTGAGCCGCTGATTTACTGCTCATCAGCTTCAACTGCAACTACTTTTGTTCTACTGCAAAGTGTAGCCAAACTAAAAGTGACTACCATGCACTGCAGTGCACTATAACCAGCAGCTAAATGGCTCCTTCTTCTCTCCCACTTAAAGTGAACTGCACATTACATAATGTTGACCTGAAGCATTGTTTACATTCATTGTAAAGCCTCACCCTCCATCCTTACCTCTCTGCTGGATGCCGAGCTGCACGGCGGTGCGCACAGTCCCCACAGGGCTGACTGCCTGACACTCATACTGGCCCTCGTCATGGGCGGCCACTCGAGTGATGCGGAGAGTACCGGAAGACAGGACCACATGGCGGCGATCTATGGGTAATGGACTGCCCCCACGCGTCCAGGCAATCACCGGCTGGGGGTAACCACTTGCCTCACAGGGGAAGTCCACTGTGTGACCCTCCAGTGCTGATTGGTCCTGCGGCGTGACCGTGAACTGTGGGATTGCTGGGGGCAGAAGACAAAAAAAACGTTATTTCAAATAATTAATGCTGAAAATATACGACCAGGGATAAGTGGATTAATCAGTAGGAGAACATCTGACTGGTAACACGAGCCAAGAAAACATTCATTTTGTCAATATGAAATCTGAAACTGATGACACACTAATAGACACATTCATAATCAAACATGTTAGGTATATAAAGGCTATCAAATAAAAAGGTCCATACAAATTGCAAAAGGAAATTCATCACATTTGAGTGGCATGGAGATGCTTCTGTCATAGAACACTGTCCTTGCCGTGAGATGAGATAATGCAAGCGGAGTAGAGTCTTGAATTCTTATGACTTTGGATTGGGTAACATGAACTGAGGTGATTGGTCCGGATGTCTTAAAAGATCATGTGTGATTCTGTAAGATGCACTTTATTTGAATAAATACAAATTGGTTTAGATTGTTAATGGCTTTTAAAGAGTCCCAAGTTGCCGTTTCCTAAAGCATTTGAAGGAAAGTAAAACAGTCTCCACAGAAGAAGAAATCTGGTTCCTACCTTGTACGATGATATATGCTGTCGCGTGTATGGTATCAACATTATTGGAGGCAAAACAGGTATACTGTCCCCCATCCTCCTGGACCACTTTCTGGATAAAAAGCCCTCCAGAGGGTGTGATGTTGATGCGAGCGTCGTTGGGCAGCGGGGTCCGATCGCCCTTTGTCCAAGAAACACGGGGCTGCGGCTGGCCGGTGGCGCTGCATTCCAGGGTCACACTCTCTCCCACCAGCACCTCCGTGTTTTGCGGCTGGATCACAAAACTTGGCCGTGCTGAAAGAGAAGGGGGAGGGGAAAACGTGGGAACTGGGTTAGATCAATTAGGCGAGAGGTTATTTTTCATCTGGGTCTCTGGTTTAGTGTTTACACATTGATGAAAATAAAGCAATTGAGAAATGTGCATTTGAAGGGCCAGTTTATGCACAAAGATCATCTTTGTATATTTCTGTCAACAACGCCACTTTGAAAACTGCTAAAACAACCTCCCACATGTATGACAACATTTGTTGGGGTCCTGTCCATATTTGGCCAGTGATTACAGTGGAGTCAGAGGAAGTATGTATACAGTGAGAGGACCGGTGTTTACAGTCACACTGAGACAGGAAATGCACAACATCTGCTCTCAAACTGTTCCTAAACAAGGGGTCGTCACTAAGGCCATCCATCACCCCGGCGATGACCCTTGGGTCACTTAAAGACAGGCGTGCTAATCTCCCAGAGGGACAGATATGATACTGTGACTGGTGTGTGTGTGTGTGTGTGTGTGTGTGTGTGTGTGTGTGTGTGTGTGTGTGTGTGTGTGTGTGTGTGTCTGGACGGAGCTAGAGAGAAGGAGCAACAGAGGACAGAATGCACTTGTGTGAGTGTGCCTCTTAGTGTAAGTGTGTCAGAAGAAAATCTGACATGAAAGCCAACGTGCTTTGCTCACAGCTCAGTGAGACATCCCAGTTATTTGACCTGCTGAACTGTGAGGGTTGCTTAGGGGCTGCTCAACGTGCAGACACTTTGCTCTATTCTGATGACAGACAAAGATCAAACATGAAAAACTGATACAAGTTTTAAAAGAATCTGGCTCACAGGAGAGATGTTTAAATTAATTGTTTCACTTTTGTTGAAATTGAAAGATAAGACATTTGTCACACATTCAAGTGGTGTTAGAACAATAAAATAAAAAAAAGGTTCTCGACTATAAAAGTTGAGGTGAAAGTTTCCTTGAAAAAAAGCTATCAACATGTTGTTTAAACTCAATGAACTACAAGACATATTTTTTTTAGGGTTCATGTTGTTTACACATTATGACTCAGGCGCCGTTTACACGAGGAGAAAACTGCTTGTATCTGCATAGTTTCGCGTGCGTATAGCCCTATTATTTACACGAGGCCGATAGAAACTGACCCCACAAACGATAACGGGTCCCAAGGTGGATAGATTTGCAAACGAAACGCTCTGGGGGGTCAACCGAGTCCGTGTAATCACCTCTATACGAATATTTCCTGAAAAAATAACGATAGCCCCACCTCTCCTGCTCACTGCTGTAGCATGGCTGTGTTAATTAAACGCACAAGGGGTTCTTGAATGAAATAATATTATAAAAGGCAAACCAGAATTGTTAACGCCCAATATACTCCTTAAACAAAATAAACAGAGTCAGATTTCATGCATTGATCCATTATATTGACAAAGGAGGATCTCACCCGGTGTTTGTAGAGAATATCTCTCTGAGCGAGTCCTCTCCACGGAGACATGCTCCTCCTCCTGTCAGTAGCTACTGCTAGTGCTACTGCTACTGACCATGCTACAGATATTAGTGCAAAAATCTACAGCTCCTCTACCACAACCATCAGCAACAAGTGGACATGGAGAATTACATTAACTACATGTTGCTAAATCCACGGCGGGGCGTAAACAGAAGGATAGCCATGGCAACATTGCTGCGGGGCTGCTGCGGAGTCTTCTTCACTGCTTTTGGTGTATTTTGTGGCGGAAGTTACAGCGCCACTTACAGTCCCGGCATATGTACTACAGCGTTTCCAGCGGTCTCGTTTGAACAGACACGTTAAATGAAACAAATGCATGTGAACGGAAGACTTTTTTGAATACGCATACTGTGCATAAACGCAAACGTTCCCGTGTGAGCGGGGCCTCAGAGATCATGTACAAACGGAAGAGCGATTTTCCTGGCAGGGAAATGCAGCATTGGCCTTGGAAGAGGTCTGAGCCGTCCTTAAAGTGTGTATAGCATGACCCCCAAATGACACCACGATAAACCAGTTAACAAATGCAGTACATCAATGTTGGTATGTGGATCTGAAAGTAAGAGTCGATAAGGTTTTTGTCAAGAAGATCACTTTTCGGAGGCTAGTGCCCTTAATCTGAATTTTCCAGTTGAATCTGCAATGTAGGTTAAAAAGCCTTGACTCCGTCAGATTCAGATGTCTGCATGAAATGTTCACAATGCAGGTTTAGAAGTTAATACAATTCCCCTGTGATAAGCAGAGGTTGACATTGAAATCAGCAACTTACTTGGGGCTCCAAAATATCGCAGCGTGACCTCTGAAGTCTTGACCTCCCCAGCCACGTTTTTGGCCATGCACTGGTAGACCCCCTGGTCTGTCTCCCTGGTGTTCTGAATCATCAGCGTCCCGTCTTCCAGCAGGTTCAGACGGCTGTCATCACGCATGTTTAGAGCATTGCTATCAGGAGGGCACAGAGACACACACCACAACCAATGAGACATGAATCATTATATGTATACAGTCTATGTAAGTCACGGGTCCTAACTGGGAAAAGCTGACTTAATGAGAGCAATGCGTCGCACCAAACGTATTATTTTGTAATTAATTAGATGGACACGCTTATAACCAAACATTACATATTATGTGTGTTTCAGTGCCTTACTTGTTCCTGAGCCAGATGATTTGTGGTTTTGGGTTTCCTTCGGCCCTACAGGTGAAGTAAACAGTGTTCCCTGAGGTCACATCCACATCCCGCGGCTCCGAGGTGATCCTGGGTACCTCTGGAAGGGAAGAAAAGAAAAGCGAGAAGAATGGGAACATTATTATACACAGAATGTCCAATCATTTGTCCCTGTATGCTGTTTCAACCAGTCTGTCCTTTGAACTGAGCCTCTTGTGAATAGGTGTAGCCCTTTCCATGATGCTAGCAGGCAGTCTGTAGCTGAACAGCATGCCTAGGCAGACATTCAAAACAGTGAAGACAAATAGTAGACTATCCTCTCTGGGCATATTTCCTGAGCCATTGAGGGAAAGTGACACTGTCAGTTCATTAGCCAGAGCCGCAGAGTAGTCTAATTTATAATCCAATATAGTCAGCATGCCCTAACCCTTGAACCCCCTTCAAATATAAATCACTCTCGAGGAAATTATTGAAACGGCCTTCAATGTAAGGCACTTTCCTTGAATAGAATAGAATAGGGAGGGATGAAACCCTCTTTAATGGTCACACATGCAGAGCACACAGCACACACAGTGAAATTTGGCCTCTGCTTTTAACCCATCCTAGTACAAGGAGTCTAGTACTAGGAGCAGTGGGCAGCTATTGTACAGCGCCCGGGGAGCAATGGGAGTGGGGGGGAAGGGGGGTGTCCGGTGCCTTGCTCAAGGGCACCACGGCAGGGCAGGAGGTGAACTGGGACCTCTCCAAGTAGAAGTCCACACTCCATATTTAGGTCTGGTCGGGGACTTGAACCAGCGACCCTACGGCTCCCAGTCCAAGCCCCTACTGACTGAGCCACTGCTCAAGTGTATGTAGATGATCATTCACAATAGCAACTACACACAATCTTACAGCCATGTGTCCGAACACCCACAGACGCTGGGGTAAGGAATATGCACAAGTGTTTCCAGCTACTAAAACACGATACACATTAAGTTTGACTTCTGTCTCAAAAGGAAGTAAAGCTCCCACACAATGCAGCACACACTCTGTGGCTCCTGCTAAACACACTCACTGTACAGATGGTAGACACATTTCAGAACTACCTCTACAAACACTTACTTCCAATCAGCTTACATAAAGAACAAGCCATAGGATGTGGGTATATCTGTGTACAAACTCATAGGAAGCTTGTGAACTTCAGGCTACCCATCTCTCATCTTCCCACCAAATTACTCCAAATAACCCTGGGGATTGTAATTACAGTTTTGTGGTAGCCCACCCTCCATTGTGGTTCAATAAGGAGGCAAGCCTGGTTCATCAGATAAAACTTGTGCAGGGAGGTGGCACTTCATTTTTTAAGAAGGATGGCTGTTTTGACAGCTGCTCGACCCGCCATGCATTGTTCCACCTCGTTTACAGGAGGAAGAAGGGAGTACAAGGAGGGAGGGAGGTAGAGAGGGAGGTGTGGAATGACTTCCAGCGTGTTTTGAACCAGACATTCTTCCTCTGCTGCTCTGATATGCAGACAGATGGAGGGGGTAACATTGAGCAAGAACGGGCAAGTTGGTGCCATCAAATTAGCTGCTGAGAATTAAATGTGGTTGGCTTACAGTCAGCTGCCTGGCTCAGACTGAAGCGTTCAGTGGGAGCTGGAGGAAACACTGAGCTGAAGCAGTTAGATCTACTGCAGGAGCCAACCGCCGGGTATAGAAACCAACTGCCATGCAGACTTATAGTGATTTGGTTTCTATTGCAGTGTTTAACAGTACCAATACACTCAGGTCAACTTGTGGCCCCACGCAAAGTTATGTGATGACGCCCTCTGTGTTGCGAGCATTGACGGGGGGGGGGGGGGCGGCGAAACTGCATTTGCGCTTCGGATGAGGCTCACTCCGCAAGATGAGGCCCCCTCCGCGAGGTGAGGCCCCACGCACTCAGCGTGATCTGCGTGTAGGGAGGGGCGGCCCTGAATACACTTTACCCTGTGGTTAAGCATTCTTCCCTTTGGATTGAAAAGCTTGCAAAGGGTACTCCACCCAAGGTAAACTATTCAATATTAGTTCTGTTAATAGTAATTGTTAATATGCATTTTTGCTTTTCTCTCTGTGTGTAATGTTAGTTTTCATTATACTATTTTAACATAACATTTGCAGCAAAAGAGATAAAGGCAGACTTCCAGATGTCTATCTGTATTATCTTGCATTTGATGTCAGGTATCATCTGATCTTGGGCTATAGAAGGAATGTAAGCACAGGTATTTAGGATTGGCTGGGGGTATCCTGTAAAAGACGGTAGCAACCATTTGATAACCTTATCATCACTGTTTTTTCTTTACATCCTACTAATTCACATAAAAACACTTATGTTATGTGTCCTTGTGTGCCTTTCAATGTTGTGTGGTATATTGTTTTGTTCTGTTGTTTGGTCTGTACCCTGTATAAATAGAAAACTGTAAAAAAAAAAAGAACAAATGACAAAAGCTTAGGACCACCCCATCACACCCCATAACATGAGCACACATATCATACACAGGCTGAGCAGCTGCTGGTGGTCTGAGATCAGAGGGTCCTGAGTGACTTTTCACCCAGACCAGAGACACAGCTGGTGATGTATGAGAAGTGAAACAGCTGTGTTCCCACAGCCGTCAGACACAAAGAGAGGACACACCTGTGTCTGTGTCTGTGTCTGTACGAGTGACTCAGGGTGACTACATGCTATTTGCTGACAGGAGGGCTGCAGGATTTGTATGTGGATTTAGGATTAGGTTAAGATGTATAGAAATAAGAACATGGAAACCACATGCAAGCTGCTATGCAAACATGCATGGCTTCCTGTATGCTTGCCCTTAAATATGTGTTCTTCAGTTTCAAAACTAAACTTCCAATTTTAAACAAAACCAGGTTTCAATAAAGAGGCTTTTAATAAAAACATCTTGTGTTGCTTTGTGCTTTCTGCAAATGGTTTGCCAACTGTATTTGATTTTTACAAATGTGTCAGTTGGGCCTGATGTGGAGATATGTCATTAGAATGGATCATAAAAACCCTGCTTTTCTCTGACTTTATACACTATCTAAAACACATGGTCATTAGATTTCAGAATTGTCATGATCAGTGGGAGGTGTGGTTATTTTCTCCGTACCACAGTTGAGCTCCTGGGCGGTGAGTGTTGCCACCGATCTGCCCTGCAGGCGGCTTGGGTAGTCACAAGTGGCAGCAGCCTGGGCATTTCCCGACTCAGCATACTGCTTCAGCAGGTCAGCCAGCCACAGCAGCTCACAGTCACAGTTTAACGAATTGGAATCCAGTCGCCTTAACACATAAACAACATGCACAGACACATAGCAAGTGAGAAATTGGTTCACGTTAAAACTGTTATACTGTATATGAAATGTGAACTTGTACCAGCAGCGGTGTAAATGAACTAAAACCGGTCTGGCATGGCTAGGCCCCGCTCAGTCCAAACAGTGGGGCTCAGCAGGGACATGTTGGAAGACACTCTCCTTCTGCCGTGGGAAACTCTCTCTGTTTGGCCTCTTTTCTGATTAATGATCCAGCTTTCAGTTCTAGTACAATTTTTCTTTTATCCATAATAGGTTTTTCAGAAGATTTAGCTGTCTAAGTTTTACATTTGTGAAACCCTATTGGATAGTGTGTTCATTTGTGTACCGCTTCACTTTTAAGTTTCTTTGTGATCATTTATATATATTAAATATTTACTCAATAGTCAATTCAATGCCAGTCAGTTTAATTTATTATCTGTTTAAGTTCTGGCCTAGGATCTGACAAATACTTAAATGGTCCTTCATGGGATGTGGCCAAACTGTGGATTTGTCTACACTGCCTGTTGGCTGGATGAGGTTAGAGTTTAAAGATAATAGGCCTCATGTTGTAAGACCACAATTCTCATATTTCATGGAAGATTAAGCATATTTTGTGCTTAAATACATTTTACAATTTAAATGTTCTTTGCTTTTCTGATCATAACTTACACTACACAATCAATGTTTAATCCCCGCTGCAGCTGACTCAAAACTCTAAACTGCAGGAAGGGCTATGACTTGTGATAGAAAGCACCTTGCAGCCAAAGTGTGAGAACATGGCAGTGTGGTTATGTGGCATGAAACAGACAACAGGCCCCACTTGATAATGGGTGTCATGGGAGTAAGCTACAGAAATTGATAGAGACATGCGTTTCAACACAGCTGTTTGAGGGACTTTTTTTTTTTTACTTACAATCGCTTCATGGACTGAAGTTGAGTGAAGGTTCCCGGGACTAGTTGGGTGATTCTGTTGTTGTGCAAAAACCTGAGTGAAAGACAGACAAACTTTAAGATAAACATTTTTCAGAAATACTTTTTTTTGTTGAAATAGTGGAATAATAATGGAATATGTGCTTTTTGTTAATATCATGTTTCATTTATCATAATGGACAAAAACATGATTATTTTCCCAGACATGCAATGGAGGTTCAACGGGACGACCCCGGAGACTTATATTGTTCTGCTATAAGTAGACATCAAAACATTTCCGTGTTTATGTAAGGCTTTGTACCAAAACTTCCCCCCAAAACGTCTCATTCTTAAACAACTACAGAGGATCAGGAGAATCTTTGATGCATTACTTCATCTTCTATCCCAAGCTGTAGAAACCAACCTACAGATATGATCACTGGACACTTCTGCTTTGACCGTGACCATGGAGATATTCCCCAACAAGCCACTCTAGACTTTGCATTTGGGAATTCCTTCCCTCCCCCCCCCCCCCCCTGGTCTGCAGGTGTCTCTCCTTCTTCTTTCCCTCCTCAGTGACTGGGAAGTATGGATGAACTGGGCAGCCACTGGCCCATAAACAGGGATAATGAAACAGGAATTTAACAGGACTTCTTCAACCCTCAGACATCTGGTAGAGCGTTTTAGAAGCGACATCACATCTGCACGCTGTCAAGAAAACTCATGTCCAGAACGTATGCAGGCATTGCTGACAGCTTTACTTCGACTTCTTATGTTTGTATAAATATCTTGATTCTTTTTCATTTGATCTCTTTATTGCACATTCTTACTTTTATTGTTCTTTCATTCTTTTATAAAATGGAGCAACTTTTATGAAACCCAGTATGCTCCTGGAAAAAAGTAAACTGGTTCTGATGAAGATAATGGCAGTTGGTCCACAAAAGAACCACAGCTACATTATTTTAAACAATTGCATGCATGTGTTTATGTATAATTGTGGTCAGGGACAACAATATTAATATCACTATTTCATTTTGAAGAAGTAGCGTGCAGGATTTAAAATGGGATATATTTGTCACACTTTTTTCATTGTGTATAATCACCTTAAACTAATTATGGTTTTGTCTTAGTTAGCTTATAATAAGCAGGTGGCCATGTTGCTCCACCATGTTTCTACAGTAGCTCAGAACGGATAAACCAAGTACTGACTATAGAGAGTCTTTTAAGTTGTGACATAACCTGATAGCCAAAGATTATCAGCAGAAGGTGGGGTTTGCGATACAGCATTCGATATTCAATTCATAACCACGCCGCTGGATGCCACTAAATGTTACACACTGCTCCTTTAAGATGACCATATCAAGATTCCAAGGGGAAACTCTATATCTAGTACATTTAGATTGCCGAAGTTACAACTGTCCTACAGAGTTGGAGGAACCCATCACAATATAAGCGATATACTGCAGTATATAATCAGTGATGTTCAGATTGACATTCCTATCTGTGGTTGCAATTAGCTCAGCTCCGTGTTTAATGAGGCCAAGATGTGTCCTCGACCCCGCAGTCCACTCCATGACTCTGACTTGACAGTTGTGATCTCATTCAGCCCCCCTGGTTTGTTTTTCTCTGACCGATTGTCCCAATGAGAGTATTTTTGGAAGCAGCATGATTAGAAAATAACACAAACCCAATATATTTCCCGACATAGGTCTTAAGTCATCTGTTAAACAAATAAACCACTAAAGGACAATTGCATAATCTCACAGCTGAAACGGGACAAACTAATCAGCGTCATGGGAACCAAGTATAGGTTCAGAATCTTGACCTGCCTGATTTTTCATTTATTTTACAGTAAGTACATCTTGCCAGTTATTGCTTTATGGTTTCTATGAGTTGCCTTGGTGAACCCATTTGCTGTGTTGGATCTTTTTTAAATCAGTTGATTTCATTGAGCATTTAGGTTGAAATAGTCAGACAGGATGAACTTACAGTCGCTCCAGCTTTGGTAGTTGAGTGAATGATTCTGGTTCCAACGACTCAATGTTGTTGAAGTGCAGGTACCTGGAGAAGAACAGAGCATAGACAAAGCACAGTCAAACTGGATTAGGGATCCCTGTCTGACTAAATATAAATTCATCGTCCTGGAAGAGCCTAAGAGGTGTATCATTTAGAAAACTGTGAAAAAACTGTGTTTTCTAGTTTTTTCTGTTCGCCTGTCTATCCCTTAACACTTCAAAATGTTCAAAAGTAGTTTAAAAAAAGGAATTTGCGCATCCATCTTGGAGAGTTGATGTACAGGGTCTGAAAGTCTCTGGCTGAAGTTTGAAATGAGATTGCCCACAGGTGAAAAGCAGGAACAACGATTACCACATGGAATGCAAACACAATTTATGCTCCAAAAAGCCTGAGCTGAGAAAACATAAATCAAAGCACAGGCTACCAAATACAATGTCAGGGAAATCAAAGGGATGGCAGATCGATAGGTGTAAGGACTCAATTGGTTTGTTTGGACAGTGAAAGCAACAGACAAAGCAGCTGCAGCAACAAAACAGACACGCAGACAAACTAAAGCAGCATAGAGTGTACAATAAAATGCTAAATTCCTCTGGATGTGTTCAACACTAGAAAGTCAATTGTAGTTGTTTCTTTAAGTGTATCTCAACTGCTGATTTATTTCTGTATTTTTAAAAGCTGCACTGAACATCCAACATTTTGTCTTTGGGTGTTTTCTAGTGTTGAAAGGAGCCTGGACAGAAAACAACACAGATAAGCAGAAAGACACAATGGTTTAATGAAGACAGAACTAAGCTCATTTTAAAGCCACTTAAAACCCCTCTAGTTTTCAATTAACATCCTATTTTTTTTTTCATTACACCTTCAATAACATTTGAGATCAAGTTTTGCTGTCATAACAATTTTAGATGTGGATAACATTCAAATTAATCAGAATTGGTTTTAAATGTAAAAAAACTAGATAATGTCTTGCTTTGCATCCATGTTGTGACCAAGTGTGTGTGTTCCTTTGTGATCCCTAACAACCCAACTGGCATGTTGATAAAACAACAACAGAGAGAGCTGGGGCTATTACTAAGAAGCATGTGACTTAACGCTCCAGCGGTGATATAGAATAACTATTCAAGTATATTCAATCGGGCTCAGAACTTGTCACTCGTATATAAAACCCTTCATTATTGCGGCGAAACTCAAAACAGCTGCCAGGCATGGACCCCGATGTAGGGGGTGGTCTGACTTGGTGAATTCTGTATCTGTTGCTCTGTGAATCCAGTTTTAGAGAATAAGTAATCAGCTCCAAAAAGAGACCAAAAACCTTTAATCTGCTAGTCAACCATGTAAGTTATAATTATGGCTTTTTGACAAACTGTAAAAAAAATCTTGTACAATTTTATGATCACAATTCATATATCATCAAACAACATTTGCTAATGTGTTGTTATAGTCAAACATGGTATAAAGATACAACAGGGTTGTGTGTGTTTTAAGACTTACAGAAAGCAATTACATTTCATCACACAGACTTAACAGACATTATGCACTAAAGGGTTCTCAAAACACTTAGAGCAGCAAATTGGAGCACAAGGGACGTTTCTGCAGTAGCAGGAGACACGCATTGCAAGTCAAGCTTTGCTCTGAAGCACGAGCTCTGACCGAGCACAACACTACTGGCAGCACGAGGCTAGACGTCATGCTCTGGGCTTTGCATGGGGGTGGCAAATATCTGCCGTCCTGACCACAAGACATGCGACTCATGCAAAAGGGTCAAAGAGGGTCAGTGCGGCATACAAGGGTGGGTGCACACACGGCATGCATGGTGGCGGTGGAAAAGTGGATAGAGGGGCGCACGCAGGGGGTTGGAGGTGGAAAGTGACACGGTAATGACAACTGAACATCATGACAACTGTGTAAGGCCCACACAGTCATGTCATACAACGTTCATAACAGCTCAGTAATAATGCCAATATTTGTGAAATGCATCACATGACTTGTGTAACAATGTTGACCTTACCAGGGATCATGAATTGTTTGTTTGTTTAGCAATCTCTCAGGAAGGGGTGGGTGGGGGTGCGAGAGGTGTTTTACAGACGGGGAGACAGTAGGGGTGGGGAGTAGCAGTTTGGTCGAGCAGAAGGAAAGGTAAACGAGGAAGTTGGTCACTTACAGTTGCTCAAGAGAAACAAGCCCCTTAAATGCTTGTCTGTCAATTGATTGGATTTCATTCTTGTACAAATAGCTGGAAGGAGAGATAACCAGTAACATTAGTAACACACACACACTCACACAGGATCATCTGAATTCTGTCTGGTTATTATAAGAGAAGGTAGAGGGGATCTGATCACAATACAGTTGTCTGGTTGCCATTTTATGATGGTATGAATTACATATATGAACACTGTAGAATATGTTTTGAATGAAGTATATACTACACTTCCTGCTTCATTGACATCACTAGTCCAACAGTATAGGTTTACATTTACATAACACAATCCAAATCAAAGACTTAGATATGTGCACACGTCATGAGAACATGTGTAGCTGTTAACATGGTGTGTGCATCACATAAGATCATCAATTTGAACTTGAAATAATTGTGTAATATGCAGCATATACAGGATTATTATGGGATTGTAGCACACTGAAAGACAAATACCCTTGATGTGTGCATGTTTTCCATCCATCATACATGTTACAGACATGTGATACTAGAAAAGCAAAGATGTAAGGCTCTGCCCTTTACTCTCCCATATTTCTGTGTCACTTTCCAACACTGCACTCATGATGAGACACGATGAGAGATAGAGAGCTCCCCACAGTACAAGTGACGCAATGCATGGACAAATAAACATCCTCTTTCTATAGTTGCATGCCTTTCTCAATGTTAGAGCCTGTCTCTGGTAACGCTACCATGACAATTCATTTCCATGCCAAGCTATTCCGTACATACTGATGATGGTAAATGCAACTATAAGTGTCATTTCTTTACTTTGGTGACTTCTTTTATCACTGTTGTTGGGTTTAAGAACCAGGAGGATTTTTCCTGACTGCTGCTGATCACTAAACATCACAAAACCAAAAGATATACATTTACAGTAAACTAAAAAAAGATCAGTATGTAACTAAGAAATCTAATTAAAGTTATTTGATGCAGAATTAAATCTGTGTTCTGCACTGATTGACAATTACAGATGGATGTAAGGTAACAGAATAATAAAAAATAAAAGAAATACATTATTCAATCAAGGGTTCCCAGAAAGAGGTGCATTGAACTCTGTATGACTGTGCTGTGGAAGAGGGGGAGGGGGAGGGGGCACCCGGGCCATTAGGGTTTGGAGGACATGAAAGATGACAGGGAGTGGACTTTACAAAGGTTTAAAGGAAGTAAAGAGGAGAGATGGGGGGGGGGGATACCTTACCCTAATCACAAAGAGGAGACAATGGTGCAGGCTTAAGATCAACTCTACGTTTAACTGCGAGGGCCATTGTAATTAAAATAGCTACAGGATTCAATTACAACACAAAGAGGGAGGATAGATGACGCACGTTTGTGTTTGGGTGAAATGAGGAGAGAAAAAAGTTAAAAGCCAACTCACCCCCACTCTCTCTCTCTCTCTCTCTCTCTCTCAGAGTTGTTGTGTATGATCCTGTCTCATGTGTGTAGTGCTCGGCCTAAATATGATCTGGACAGTGATGTAACAGTATGTCACGTAGGGCTGCCCCCTGAGAGTCCATGTGTCAAACTATCGGAAGGCGACACCTCAGTTCATTTGAAATTCTTTAAGTTGAGACAGACCTTTTCTTTGTCAATAAGTGTGCATGACCTAATGTTCTTATATTCTAGCAGGGCGAGAGTATTTGCTTAATCCACAGGCAGTATAGACTTGATCTATATAAAAAGGCAAACATGTCACACCTAAAAAGCATGGTAAATGGCTGTGGTCCGTGTTTAAATACATGACATTCTTATCCAGTAAAGCCTTAATGTCACGCTACTTCTTTCACACAAACAGACTTTGATCAGTAGTTGTATTATTTATTTGAATATGGTACTTTATCTGCCATTATGCAGACACCTAGTCTAATCAGAGCTAAATGGAAAATAATGTTATTTTCAGTTCAAAATGTACACAAATATCACCAAACACAAGGCACTGTGCACATGTACTGCGTAGTTCCAGGCAGGGAAATCAGTCCATATCTAACTGTGAGCACAGACAGTGCTCTTACCGCGACTATAGCCTGTGGGATGATAATGTAAGTGACGAACAAAGGGAACAAACTGGCAATCCCACAGAAACCTTGAGGCTACACACGCCTCGACAATCTGTTCTCAACCCTGCCTCCAGGTCACGGCTTCCAGACACTTAAATACAGAGGATCAGACAAAGGGAGACTGTTCCTTGATGTATTTTTTGAACACTGCCCTGATACATGTATACTGTCTGAGCAGTCTAGCAACACCAGCCGTCTGAGCAGTAACCATCGATAAGTGTTGTTTTTTTGCAACAATAGTATCAGACATGTTTCACCATGCTCCCTCTTCTGTTGATGGAACAAATGTGAACTCCTTTAACAGCCAACTATCATGTTTGACTGTAAAGAGGTACTGCCACATATTCTTAAACTCTATCACTTGACCTTAAAAGCACAACAACATTGATATGAGGCAACTTACAGATATTTGAGGTTTTCCAGATCTTCAAATACCCCCCTGGGGATCCTTCGTATATGATTGTTGTTGAGGAGGCTGTGTAGAAAAGACAACAGGGGATATTTTTTACAAGATGGACAGTTTGTGTGGGTTAATTCGGAGAGGAGTGCAAAAAGCTATTTAAGGCAAAATACATTATAATGGAATTGAAAGGAATTTGAATCAATTGCCTCCTGACGTCTGTCACAGTATAGGTTCTGTTGGTCATCTTATAACACAGTTTCATATTTCTCTGCGATTTAAAAAACACCTGCAGTGTGCAGAGTTGTTATTCCCAAAGTGTTGTGATCTTTTTAATAAAGTAATATAGGACATGTCGCTGTACTTCAAAGACTGATGGTTTTTAGGTTATGTTGTTGTTCAGTCCGTGGAACTGCAGACTGAAACCAAAAAGAGCTGTTGGGGATATAAAGCTCTCAGCAGTCCACATAGCTGGCTGGCTGATAGGAAAAGCCCGGCTTTCTCCTGCTTTCAGGGACTGTTCTTTACTTTGAAACTAAATCTAAACCACTATGTTAATAGCCTGCAATGATTCTCATGTTTTTTTATCTATGGATATACAGTATATAACCGTATATACTACACATTCCATTTGTACTCTTCTTATTTTTGCATTTTTCTTCTACCTTTCTTTGCAGCTGCCACAGGAGAAAGCATTTTAATAATGTTAAGGTGTGTCTGATTTATTTGAGCAGTCAGCTGAACAGTGTAAACACTGTTATTACGGCATTGCTGAAACATGCACACATTTGTTCTTTATTTTAAGAAGGTTGCTAAACTAATATGTTGCCCAAGAAAAACACAAACACTTGAAACATTACAGGTCCTTAATTAGCTTAGCAATGCACCATGTAGCAGCCCGGACATATGACAAATAGCTCTGTGGGTGGAAGTGGAAAAGTAAATTCCTCATAGATTACGAGCTGACCTACATGTGTGAAACCATAGCAGAACAAGCCAGAATCTGCTTGTGTGTGTGTGTGTGTGTGTGTGTGTGTGTGTGTGTGTGTGTGTGTGTGTGTGTGTGTGTGTGTGTGTGTGTGTGTGTGTGTGTGTGTGTGTGTGTGTGTCTTTCCAGGGAAGTGGCAATCATTCTGCAGAGTGTTGTTTTAAGGAAATTGTCTAGATTTAATTCAAAAGTCTCATTAAATGCAACTAACAACAAAATGCTTATACTATGAAATATTATTCAGAAAACAAATTTGCGTCAAAAAAGAGGAGCAGGGACAAAGACTTACAGTGTATTGAGGTTCTTTAATCGTTTGAAGGAACCTGGTTGTAGATCCTTGATTTTGTTGAACCTGAGGTCGCTGTAGAAAAGAAGAGAAACATATTCATATTAAGGAGAGTATCAAAAGTTGTACATGAATACAATTGACTTGAAAGATCTCTAAATGTGTTGAAAGCATGCAATACACATCTGCATTAACTAAAGTCAACAGCAGAGCTTTCACATAATAATCCTGAAGGATAATTGGACACATTACTCATTTCACAAGAATGCCTTTGTGAAGCTTTAATCATGTGGGCAGATTTATATAACATTTGCCCCAAAGATAACAATCAAAGCCAGTCGCAGCAGTCAGCAGTTGTCAGGGTCTTTCTCCTTTAACTTCTTAATTTAAAGAGGCTGTGTAATGATAACAATAACTTTGACACGGCACTAATCACTCTTGGTCTACCAAAGAGTGACATAGCTTGACGAGGTAAAGACCCTAAAACTGCAAATATCCCTGTGAAGGTGAAATCATTCTTAAACCCACGAGGCGTTACTCAAAATTGGAACATGTCATCTGAACAGTGATGTTATGTTTATGGAACTTGGGCTGCAAGTCATCTGATCTTCAACTAAGCCGTTTGCTAAACGTATTTTAATAAGATATTCTGTAAGGGGAACCAGCTATTTAGATGACGAGGGGCATTTAGAGAACTCTTACCAGTGAGTGCATCCAGAAACACCATTTGTATCAAGGTCTTTAAGGTCTGCTTTAACCCACAACAACCAAAGAAGTGTAGCATTATTCAACAGAGCATGTCACCTGAGAGGAAAGTCTATTGAAAAAACCTCTGGCCAAAGAGATAAAGGGAGCATTCGGGTGGAACCACAAAGCAGATTTATCACTGCACTGAAGAAAGGAAGAACTACATCAGCCTTTTTCTCTAGAAAGCCTCACTCACTGGCAATGACCAAGTAAATAATCTTAGACCGGGTCACACAGACTTGTGATTGTGCAAAACTGTCACGGCACCAGGGTGATGAGAACCCTGGGATCAGTCTTATTCTCAGTTTGACTGCAACATTACAAAAACAGCTTTACTGTGGCTTTATGTTGGTGAAAGGATGAGTGACGTAATCCTTTGATTCATTTACATTGTATATACAGTATGTATTCATTAGCTAAGTATTTATCTTGTCCATTTCCCTTTATTCACAAAAAGCCACGCAGCGGTGACTCCTTACATTTCTGAAAAGATGACGTCCAAATAACCAAATCAACTGATTTCATAGCCGGTGAAATGTTTATGGGTCAGTGACTCTGTAAAAGCCTTCACATATGGGTCCAATCAGAGGGAGTCCAACTTTTTCATATGCTGACTTCCTTGACTGTGAGCTAGTGCAAGACTTCACTAGAAGAGCTTTTCTGTAGCTGACATGCTTTGTGTGGAACGTCCTTCAAACAGCTATTATATTGTTGTTTCTGGCAGCACCTTCTGTAACTTCAAAATAAAAATATTATTTTCAAATTAATCAACAGCTTTGACCAAACAATAAAACCTCACAATCAGGGAGATGAAACAGGAGTGCAAGTTTGATGCACTTGGAGCACTAAGGATACTTAAGGCTGTAATTGGATCAAATTGACTGTCAAAAAAAGAGAGGGTTGAGGGTCTTCCGTAAGAAGATCAGGGATCACTGTGAGGTGAGGAGGTACAGCACCCTTAGGAAGACTCCCCTCTTGAGGCAACAAGCCCAGGGTACATAATGCACTCCCCTGACAAGCTGAGGCAGGGGCTGCCAAACTGCCTCTAGCTCAGAGAGATGAGGGTGAGTGGGTGGGGAGGGGCGTCGACATGCTGGTTCAAGCAGCACCCATCTCAGGTGCAGAGATGAAAGCCCTCTTTCTCAATTCTGCTGAGGTAAGTCTAAAGTAAAATGAAGGGTCATACTCTAGGGTCAAAGCTTTACCTTGAACTGGCTCAACCAGTGTCCCCTACATACACAAACACACACTATGGACTGACAGCAGCACATTTAGAATAAACTGAAAAACTCACATTGTCATCATTTGTTAACTGAACTTTTTGTCATGGTTGGTTGCTGTTGTTTTGACTTTGTATGTCACTTAACGGTTGAGATGACCCTGTTTCTTTATAGAGAAGGCTATGTAAGGCCAAGCAGAGTGTTGTCTGTGTTTAAAGCAAAAGCATGAAGGGTTTGGAAAGGCTCAGCTGACTCAAGTCCTCAGCTGAGTGTCCTGAAGTATTGGGGTTGATGACATTACCATTGCCCAATAGTGCTCTCAGGCTTGCAAAAGTGGCTTTTGACCACATAATGGCAGCTCTGGCTCTCTGTACTGTGTGTTTTAATAATTATTTCTCTAGAACTGTGAATAAAAAACCTTATCTGTCGATGCATCATAACCCAAAAAACAATGATTTATTGTCACTTTTATAATTTTCGAATCATAAATCTAATCGATAGATTTATGATAAATAGATTTATGATTCGAAAATTATAAAGTAGGGTAGACATGTGGAGATTATCCGACTGAACAAAACGTGATCCGTTTCTTAAATGTGTGTCAACCACAGACCTTATTTCGAGCTATTATCCAAAATCCTGACACACACACACACACACACACACACACACACACACACACACACACACACACACACACACACACAACACACACACACACACACACACACACACACACACACAACACACACACACACCACAACACACACACACACACACACACACACACACAACACACACACACACACCACACACCACACACACCACACACACACACCACACACACACACACCACACACACACACACCCACAACACACACTACACCCACACACACACACACACCACACACACACACAGCACACACACACACACACACACACACACACACACACACACACACACACACACACATATTGTATGAGAAAGGTTCCAGGTTGAATTGAGGCAAATATTTGTAATGTTCAGGTTGTTGTGTTTAATATTCATGAGAATATTTGTCATTGTTCAAATGATAATAAACAAATATATAAAGCATATTTGTCCACTCATATGTTGATAAGAGTATTACAAACTTGAAAAATATCCCTCTAAGGTACATTTAGAACAGATAAAAAATGTGCGATTAATTTGCGATTAACTATGGACAATCATGCGATTAATCGCGATTAAATATTTTAATCGACTGACAGCCCTAATAAAAATATATAAAAAACATGTCTATGAAGTGTTTTGCTCAAAATACCAAACAGATCACCCATTCTAGCCATGCCTCATATCCCTCTATTTCACTTCCTGTTTCAAAAGTGCTGGTTTTGAGTATAAAGCTTTAAAAAAAATAAAAATTGATAACAAATAAAAAAGCTGAGCTGAGCTCATGCGGGACCCGGCAGCTGCTGTCTAAACTAAATACTGCCGTGATGAAACGCCATATCATGGATTATCAAGGATTATTTCTGAAACAGTATGGAGCTCAAATGCTTTCTCTCTTGCCGTTTATACCACAAGGTGAGTTCTTTTTTATATCCAGCTTCTTCACACACATGCTCTCCAGTACAGGTTAGCGTGTTAGCGATGCTAATGTAAATACCGACCATATTACGTCCAAAACAGTCGGGCATTGTTTCTGATAGCAACTTTCTGATAGTGCCGTGGGTCCACATTTCCGATATTACGTCATATCGGACGCAAATCTGGATCAGCTCCGTTGTACCCCCGTTTTTAGAGATTTGGGTACGGAGGAAAAGAGAGACGGTTTTATTTTCTGACGCTGCGTGAGTTCCCCGACACACCGGGGACACATATTTATGTATAAAAGACATAAAAAAGTGCATTTTGCATGATAGGTCCCCTTTGTCCGGCAGTGGCTCAGTCAGTAGGGGCTTGGACTGGGAGCTGTAGGGTCGCCGGTTCAAGTCCCCGACCAGACCTAAAATATGGAGTGTGGACTGCTACTTGGAGAGGTCCCAGTTCACCTCCTGCCCTGCCGTGGTGCCCTTGAGCAAGGCACCGGACACCCCCCTTCCCCCCTCACTCCCAATGCTCCCCGGGCGCTGTACAGTAGCTGCCCACTGCTCCTAGTACTAGACTCCTGGTACTAGGATGGGTTAAATGCAGAGAACACATTTCACTGTGTGTGTGCTGTGTGCTCTGCATGTGTGACCATTAAAGAGGGTTTCATCCCTCACAATTCTATTCTATATAATATAAATGCAGCTGTCGCTAACATCCACAATTGTTTCACTAAAATTAAACTGGAAGCGATGACTAATGTTTTTCAGTTGAACAAGATGGTCTATGAAGCTCTTTTGTGATGGTTTATCATCAAGGAACTAGAGAAAAGCAGCAGTATGTACTATATAGAGGACATTGAGTAGTTGAGGCATTTATGGGAAATTCCTCAGGAAATAGTTCAGAGAGTCCCCAGAGACAGCTCGGCTGTTGTCACAAAAAATGTGCACAGATTGCTGGACATTTTATGATATTTCTTCCAAGACATCAAATGAGTCTGTTAACTCCCATGATGTGTTCTGATGGCACAGCGCCAAAGGAAACTGTAAAAAAGGAAGGGTAACTACCCTGTACAGGGGCTGATAGACTAATTTGGATATTACTTAAACAAAAAGCCTGAAGCCATACATTTCTCAAACGTATTTAAATCTCCTATTCAATAAAGGCTACATTAACAATATGCCTTCGGGGTTTCTCAGATAGAACTCTAGGTTGAGTGGAAGCACTGAGGTGATTTAGGGACAGTGTAACTACGGCCCATCACAGGAAAAGGTTGGTACTTATTGGTCAACATCTTACCATATCCATTTGACATGCAAGCAACTCTACTCAGAATATTTACACATCAAGCCATCTACATTTTAAAATGCTGTATTTGCTGGAAAATATCGAAATCTTTTATTCTTCGCCTATTTGCTTGGCACAAACAACAAAACGTTGCATCACGGCCAAGCTAACATCTGGTAATGTCTGAGACAGGCAGCACAGCTGAAACTGAAATATTATTTCAGTTTTAGGGCATCCTCTGATTTCTGTAA